TCTTATTTTTCGAAACTACATTGAAACTGTTTTGCTGTTTTTCCCAGAGTTTGTCCTGTTCCCAGTTTGTCCTGTTCGGACTGGAGGCGGCAATATTCGTCGGTTCCCACAAGCCTCTATAGCTCAGCTGGGAGAGCGTGGCACTGAAGTTGCCAAGGTCACTGGTTCGATCCCGGTTGGAGGCATGTCGATTTTACGAAATTTTCTTTTTCTGTTTTTCCCGGTACGGACTACTTTTCGCCCTTTCGTATAGCACGTTATTTTTTTCTTATTCCGTGTTAAATCCCGGCTGGAGGTACCAACCTATTTTTTTTTTTTTTTGACATTTTTTTTGTATTTCGACCAAAAACATTTTTGGGCCATCGCCTTTCCCGCAATGGCGTTGTCATCGACTACCCCCCCGATGCATGGTCTCTTCACGCTTCCGAGTTGCATTGCAGCACAACACACCACAGCGCGGCCCAGCAGTAAACTGTACAGCATGCTGCGACAAGGGTAACCAAAATTTCTATCTTCTCTGGGGGCCCATGTCCAAGTGCCTGTTTTATCACTCCCGTGCTCTGGACGCCTGATGAGTCCACCCATATTTCACCTACTGCTGCACCTTCAGAAAGAACAACGTTCGTTCGTGTTCTTCGCCTTCGTTGCAATACAACCGATTGGTCAACCAATATGATAACACTCATATCCCGATATTGAATACCACACACTCATGCACTGCATCAGCTACACTGCATTTTCTATGTAGCGTGCTGTCCAAAGTAAGTGCGAACTGTGCTGAACGGCGCCCTTGTTTTCTGGGCTGCGGTACGTTTTGGTCCTGGGAGTTGCATTCATTCATTGTCAGCGGGCGTTTTTCTATATCTTCTACAACATTATGGAGCACACGCGTACAAAGTATCCTCTGTTGTCACATGTGTTGATGGTAATTTATTTCTGAGACACTCCCTTGACCCTCGACGTCAAAACTTGTCCCGACTATGTGTTCTTAGAGATCGCTTGGAGACTTCTCCGGGTCCAGCAACGAACGCCTTGGCGAAATCGAGGCGTGCTTGCAAGGGGCGGCCACCAAAGAAGAGCTGGCCCTCAAGGCCAACGCCCGCGACGCTGAGGTGGGCATGCGCAGGACAGCGTTATTTTCGTCTCATTCTCGTTTTTTTTTGTTTGCGATGTTTAGTTGCTCGTGGGTGCGGGTTTACCAGGCACGCGCACTCTGGGCGCACCCGCCGCGAGGCATGCGTAGTGGTGGAGTTGGGTCGACACTGGTGCGTCAGGTACAAAGGTGCAGATGCGCGGGCCTCCAGGCCGTCGGTGTAGGGAGCAATGCCCATCTCATCTTTGTGCGCGGAGGCAGACGCCATCACGAAGGCGGGCGGGCACTATGTACACGGCCCTAGGTTTGCTAGAGGTAGAGCTGTACTGTCTCAGTAACCTGGTTTTGCCATCAATGGAGGAGGGGACNGAGCAATGCCCATCTCATCTTTGTGCGCGGAGGCAGACGCCATCACGAAGGCGGGCGGGCACTATGTACACGGCCCTAGGTTTGCTAGAGGTAGAGCTGTACTGTCTCAGTAACCTGGTTTTGCCATCAATGGAGGAGGGGACAGGTGGTGACGACGAGCTGATTGGACTGGTTGACCCTTCGGCGCGAGAATTTTCAGACCAAGAACCCTAAGTGCAACGAGGGAGAAAGCGAGGAACCGACTGGGAAGGACAGCATAGAGAGCGTGTACGAAGCGGAGCGGGTCGAGTTTGGTCGTGCTAGGACTGGCCGCAGCGGCACCGGAGCATGCGGACGGCATCGAACCGTGGCGCACGGACAAACATCCCTTGTGTTGTCAATTATTTTCCGTTTTTTTCCTGAATATAGGTGTTAGGTGTGTGTGATGACGTCACTGGTTTTGTAGAGAGCCGCGGCAGAGATGACGCGGATAACCTGGGTGCCTTCATTGTGTACCTGCATCGTGGAAGACCCCTTCAATGTGGAACGATTCCTAGTCAGTGTCGATGTTTACACTGCTGTGGCTACCACAGATTATCTCGATAGATTCGGGTGATTGTCAATTGCAATGATGGCTTTGGTTGGGTGTTCTTCTTCATTGTATGTCCACGGACTCATTCTGACAGCACTTCAGACAGCAGCTGCATGCCCCGAGCTTGTGTACCATGCACCATGGTGTTACTATTGTGCAGACAACACTTCAGACAGCAGCTGCATGCCCCGAGCTTGTGTACCATGCACCATGGTGTTACTATTGTGCAGACAACACTTCAGACAGCAGCTGCATGCCCCGAGCTTGTGTACCATGCACCATGGTGTTACTATTGTGCAGACAACACTTCAGACAGCAGTACGCTGTAGTCGACAACCATTCATTTTGGTTAATTGCGGGACAAGGAGGGTGATGCTGCTGCTGTAGTCGATTTTGTAGTGTGTGGGCGTGGGGTTCAGTTGTGAGTACGCAAACGTGCTGCAGGCATTGTAGGTGTACCTCCTCGGGCTTGCGTACCCTCTTCTTGCTAATAGTGTGTGTGTTCCTTAGATCTTCTGACGGCTCTAGCATTTTTGTGACCACGGACCAAGTCTTTGCTAGATTTTGGGATTAGCAAGTTGTTGTTGTTGTTGTCTTCACATTAAACCGTATGTCAGTTGCTACATGCCAAAATCTAGCAAAAGACTCTCAGCCCGTGGTCACGAAAGTGCTAGAGCCATCTGAGGATCTAAAGAACACGCACACATACAACGAGAAAAAGGTATCGAAGAGCCCGAAGAGGTACACCTAAAAATCCCTGC